ATAATGACAATCCTGTTCCCAACTTGTCAGCCACATCTGCGGGAATACTCTTAAATGTTTTGAGAGTCAAGGAAGACAGGGACGAATTAGATGACAAACCTTTCAACAGAGTGCTTGCCAATAGACCTGTCATGTCAGTAGAAATAACAAGATCTTTCAAAGTTTTACTGTTTTCTAGAATGCCACACAAATCCTTTGCACTGTCCTCGTCGAGAGCATGCGCTTTAGTTAGGCTCAGTTTATGAAGCCACCATGGTTCCATATTACTGGCGTGTGAGGAGGCTTTGCATGCATATCGCACTAGTCTTAAAGTTTCCTGATCTTTGAAGTTCAATTTTAAACTCTGAGGTAAACTAATAGAACGGCAAACAACCATCGCCAAATTATTGGCAGCTCCACTCTCACCCAAAAGTTCAAATATGAAAAGGCCATCTCCTCCAAGACAATGGCAGTACCTCTTCCCATAGAGAATCTCTCCAATCTGACTGAAAAACATGGCTCCATCCTTGCCCAGAATACCAGCAGCAAACAAAAATACTTGTCGGTATTTATTAGTAATATCACTCTTGTTTAATTGAAACTTATCAAAAATGCTGATATTTTCTTTCATCAGCTGTACTAGGTAAGTGGCAGCTAAGAATTCCTGAAATGTCCTGTGAAGAAAGTGATACTCATGTTTTGGATTGAGCTTCTTAACACTGGCTTCCATGAAAACAACACCCACTTTAGCAGCTGAGACACCTTTGCCATTGGTTATTGATTTTTCTAGCTTGGCCAGTTCCTTTTGTTGGAAAGAAGGGCGTTCTTCTAGGAGACATCTCCACGCCAACTGTCCCAGTGCGAGTGTGCGATCTTCACATTGTTTCTCCAAAGCAAAGCCATTGTCATCTTCTTTCGCTTCATCATCATCTTCTTTGGCTTCATTATCTGTTTTCGTTTTGTCATCTTTGTCAACTGATGAAATATCATATTTAGAACAAAATCTTCCCAGCAGGCAGCGATAAATGATCTGATAAAGTTTGGTACGGTTTGATGGCAGTTCCCCTTCATGGTCTTCAAAAACAATGCAAAGAAGAAGTAAGTTTAGTGGATTGTTTCGCAATGCATGTAGAAAAATGTTTCCTTTAATAGCTTGAATGAGGCATTTTCCTTTTAACAAATCTGCTTGTGATCGACCAACAGTTCTGAAATGTCTTCTGATGTACTCAGAAGCATCTTCAATGGTAAACCCATTAATTTGCAAAAGGGTGTCAAAGACATGGCGTTGCCGAATTTCAATTCCCTTCTCTTGACGCGAGGTGGCTAAAACAGAACAGCGTGACAAAACTCTTCTTCTCAACAGCTTATCGACAGCTTGCTCTGCTACTTTTGGTAACTCGTCAAGGCCATCCAAGATTATAAGAATCTTGTCCTGCTTCTTCTCATTGTTGATGTAATCCAGTAGCACTTTTTTCTCTTTTTCTGTTATGTCCTCGGGTAGTAGTTGATCGTCAATAGCTTGCATTACATCTCTATCCATGTCGCGGCTTTTCAGAAGTAACATCAGCTTGAACACAGGAAAATCATGCTTCTTGGGTATTGCACGTCTTGCCCAATCATTTGCTATTTTTAAGCAGAAAGTTGTCTTGCCGATGCCAGGGCTTCCCTCTACAAG